CCCCCACCATTCCTCATTGTATTTGGCTGTTTTCTCTGTCTGTGTCCCCGCGGGGCCCCAGCCGGCGCCGAGTGCTCTCCTGCCCGCAGTGGGGGCCCAATCCACATCTGCCCCTTCATCCAGGCGCTTCCCGGCCCGATGCGGCACGCCGGGTCCTATGGGGTGCGCTCGGTCAGGGCTGGGAATTGTTTTTTCTTTCTCTCCTCACCCTCCTCCTCTCCACGATCCCCCTTTCATGCCCCCTCAGCAGAGAAGAGCACTGTGAATTCACTTTAGCCTCAGAGTCTGAAGGTTGAAAACGTATGCCTCGGTTTGCAGACTGCAGGAGCAGGCCTGTAATAGGGGGTGGGGGGCGCGCGTAGAGGAGACTCCCAGACTGGGTCACAGTGCTTAATGCAGTCTCGGCTATTTGCATTTGAACGGTAGGCAGAGAGTCCGTGATGCTTTGAACGCGGCCGGCGCGGCGCGCAGAAGGCTGCCTTGGTGCGCGCTGCTGTCCGGGTGGTCAGAGCCGGCTGGATTTGAGGGGCCCGGTTTGAGCGGACAGGAGAGAGATGCGTTTGGAAAGAGGCTGAAGATGTGTGTTTGGGTCCCCACGAGGGCGTGTTTGCAGAGAGGGACTGTTTGTGTTGGCGAGGAGTGTGTGTTTGTGTTCTCAGGAGGCGAGGGAGTACGTTTGTGTGTTTGCGGAGTGTGGGGCAGCCTAGAAAGGTGGCCCGGCTGTCACTCAGCGATCTGGTTGACAGGCGCTCCCTCATCAGGGCTCAGGAGCTCTGATTGCAGATTCGAGGAAACAAAATAGCAATTGTAATTACGGGGATTGATAAGATAAAGAAAGCAGCGAGCTGGCCAGGAGGGAAAGGAGCGGTCCTGTAAGGAAGAGAGCAGCAGCCTGCTGTGCCTGGATGGAATATTTGCATCTGTCACTCACAGGGCATGCCCCGAGGCCCACCCGCGCCTGCCGCTGGAGTGTCCCCAAGCGCACCCTTTTGAGACACAGACTCTTGAGGAGATAAGGAGGAACCAGTTCCTGGGAAGTTCTCCCTGTGTAAAGGCATTCTGGCCTGCCTGGAAGTTAAGGTGTCAGTACTGAAATCCCGACCTCCATACTTACAGGATTTGGGGAGAGGGAAAAGTCTGGATTAAGATTACTGAGGTTCAACCCCGGGGCATCAAACCTTTTGTGGCTACAGAACCAGGGGTGGAAGCTGGTCTAAACCAGGTGCTCTGCCCCCTCCCCCCCATTCCAGGAACAACTCTGGTTGGGACTCCAGAACTATATAATACCCAGCAAGAGCTGGCCACCTGGACCCCTGCCTGTGCTGCTCAGCTCACGCCTGTACTCATCAGACTGTTTTCAAAGGATTGATGTCCCTGGTGGGGAGGAGGCCCTTCCTCTCCATCTCTCAGCTCATTCATTAACACGCACAAACTTTTCCAAGGACTTATTCCTGCAGGACATGAGGTTAAGGTGGTGAGCATCTTGCCTGCTTGAAGCAGTACAACAGAGAGGTAGAAACTCAACAAGCTCTCTCACAGGCCTGTAAGACACAGGGAGTTCAATAAAGGAAAAGGGCTCTCTAGGCTGTGGATACTGGAGTCCACCTCATCTGTCTCCTGGCTAATGGGCCTACCTCCCAGGGGGCTGAGAGGAGACAGTGCAAACGAAGCCTTTAGCAAATACAAGTGTTCAATAAATGGTGTTTATTATCTGTTGGGAGGGAGCTAAAGGTGTGTGTCCCTGTGGAAGCTGTACATGGGATGAACCCCATCATTCATTCATGGATTACTAACTGCAGAACAACCCTCCCCCGCTCTGTGCCACAAACTGCAAGTTCCCAGCTAGGAAGACATGGCCACTGCCTAGAGGTCTGTGTGGGCAAGAACCAGCTCAGTGAGGACTTCTGGAGGGGATTACAGGGGCTTAGGAAGCCTGCTTCTCAGAGGAGGGATGGGGCCTTGGGACAAGCCCTCTGTTTCCCCATGGATTCATGGCACAGGGCTAGCATTATGACTGGGCGTGGGGGAAGGTGGGGCAGAGTAAGGGGAGGAGAGTGGGGACTTGCTGCACTGGGACCTGCCTCTGTCACTGGGACCATCCAAAGTCCTCCAGCAGTACTCTCAAGGGCACGGTGGGGGGTGGGGGAGCCAGTGAGGAGAGAGGTCATGGGCAAAGGCAGCCCCTGGGTAGGGCATCAGTGGCTCCACCTGCTCCTCAAAAGTTATCTATCCCAGGGCGCCTCTTCGACACCAGCTGCTCCCAAGGAATCACCCTGGCTCAGTGTCCCTGGAAGACCCTGGGGGAAAGCAAGGAGGGACCTGACAAGTCCCCTCTCCTTTGCCTGCCCCCTCAGGTAGTTAACACAAAGACCTAGACTGGGTCTAGAACGTAGTAGCGTTGTAAATACCTGTTAAGAACACAAATAATGGGACGCAGCGGGAAAGGCTGGGTGGCCTGGATCTGTCTCCTCCCCAGGAAAAGCAGCTGGAAGCACTCATTTAGGCCGTCTATTTGAGGGGAGGACAGTGACTGTGGTCCTGCCAGGGACCTCTGGGCTTCCCCACAGCAGTGCTCAGGAGCCCTCTAGAATTTCAGGCTTGTATTTGTGTGTGGGTCTGAGGTAATGGTGACAATGGGGGAAGGAAAAGGAGATGTTTCTCACTCCAGGAGAGACAGACAAGAGGTACTTTGCAGAAAGAGGGGGTCTTGGGACCCCATCACACCCGCACACTGTGGGAGAGGGGGGCCCACAGCCTTTCATTCAGTGTTAGCGGCCAACTCCGGGGTGGCCCTGCCGAAGAGAGGACACAGCAGGTCGCAGGGAGAGCTGCCTAGTAGCTGAGTCTCAAGCTGCCAGGGTCCTACGGTGGAGACCTGGAACCTTCCGACCCCGGTGCACTCGGCGGTGCGAGAAGCCCCAGCCGAGGGTCTCCAGACTCCACAGAGTAGGCGACCAGCGATGCCTCCATTCCCGAGTGTCCAGACACCAAGAGCGCGCGAGGGGACAGGTCGGGGATGGGGGAGGCGCCCACACCGGACGCCCCGGCCCCTCCCGTTGGTTCCCAGACCCCTCCCCTCGCCCAGACCCCCAATCCT